AACGAAATCTTACTCTTCATGTAATAGCACTTGAGCTTCAGGTCAGTCAAACTGTTCAACTGCGACAACCCATCCATCAACACCTCCAGCGATATTCTTTGGCAATTAATACCGACCATCACTTCAACTGATCTCAATCGTCGGCCATAATTGCGGATAAATGTGGGGAAACTGAAGGCGCAATCATTACTGAAGACAAACGAAAGTTTCCACAGTTTGGGAAACAATAGCAGATTCTTCATACAAAAGAGTGGCACAAAATACCCAATCGATAGCTCAGAAGTGATACCAATTATCTGTAAATTGCGACAAAAGGCCAGTTGTCTGTCGCCGAAGAACAAGTGTTTATTGTGGTCGTCGACCAGTCCGTAACGAATTGCCATCATTTGGGCTTTGAATGCCACGAAGAACTGATCCATAGAGTGAATGGCATTCAAATTACGGCAACCAATGATAATATCGCGAATATTCTTGTCGCTCATCACAACGTATTCATTGGCCACGCATTGAATGCGCCGACACTTGCGAAGAATGGCCTCCAGTTTCTCGGCGTTTACGTACGGTTTGGTGTCAAACGTTAGATCAAAATTCAGTTCTAATTGTCGGCCGAAGATAACTCTGTGCCACTGTTTGGACACACATTCGTATCTCATTTTGTGATAGAGTGGCAAATACTGGAGCATGTCTTCGATGGTGTCGTCACCGAACCGGTCCAACGAGTCTCTGTGATAGTGATTGGCCATAGATTTGGGTTTATATATGATCTGATTGTTCATCAAATTTAATCAAGTATTGTGTTATCAATACTAATCACAAAATCCAATCTAATTGTTAGCCATAAAAACAAAATGGTTCCCTAAAATGATCGCCTGTTCCTAATTAGTCATTGCTTTCAACCCACAGATACCCTGATTATATTTCAATGTTAGCAAGCAACTATTCAAACATCGGGCTAACCCTAAATCACGTTACAGTAATTGCAAATAGTAATATTAACCAAATAATAACCACTATTAAGTGATCACTAATGAAATTATGATATAATTAATATAAAAACAGTTTAATTTATTTAATTAAAAACATAATTGAAATAAGAATGTATTGACAAAAGATTGTGACTTTAAAATACAATAATTAGCGTCTAATGAGAGGTAAAAATGTTTTTATTTCATAACAAAAATTGATTTTTATATTAGGTTTTGTAGAAATGTGAAGAAAAGTTAATGTTTTAATTTAATTAAAAATTTATATTAATTTTAATATTTCGAGAGAGAGAGAGAGAGAGAGAGAGAGAGAGAGAACAACGGAAAAAATCATGTGAAAAATTAAGTAATCCTTATATTAATAGTAATAATACTGCAAATAAATCATAAATAAATTGTAACTATTGAGTAAAAACACAAATAATAAATAGTTTTGAATACAAAACTCCTAATTAATTAATTCACAGCAGAAAATGTGCACAAATTGTTTCAATAAATACTGTTTTCATCAGATCTATAGACAACTCAATCATTGAACATAAAAACAAAATCAATTTAATTGCAAAACAAATGCAAACGAATAGCCGCTCATTGAGAACAACAAACATTTGAAAAAATATAAAAACTTTGGTTTCGATAAAATACTAATGAATTTTCTATCAGAAAATTCAAAGACTAGTCCATCGCTGTCTCAATGTCTTAAGAGCTCAAGAGATTCGTCATTACTTCCAAAACAAACACAAAAAATATACATTATATGAGATTTCATTTGCATTGGATTTACAAAAAACCTAATGAATAGTAAGCCTTAAATCAATTGGTAATTTCGTGACAGAAAGCATTGCATTTGTGTATATATTGGACCAAAAAATATATCTAAACAATCAATTTGAAGCTCTAATTCACTTAATCTTAATCTCTAACGGATTTGTTGTACTAATTCGTAATGGATTTCAAACAATTCATTGGAAGTCTTGGGGAGAGAAAGAGACAGAGATCTGGAGAAAGGGTTGAATCCAAAAAACACATCGAATGAAGACTTCGTATATTATGGTGTATAACACAAAACTCAAACAAACCCTTAAAAAGTTGTGTACAAAATAAATCACAATTAAAATCTATAAAACAATTATTGATCGCAATTATCGGATCAAATGACCAAAAACTGTCATCATTTTCACTGATTCCACATTTAAACCAAAAAACAATTCAAATTATGAGCTATTATTGCGTGAAATACGAGCGCTGCCGACACCGGCCACTGATGACCGGTACGTATAGCCGGTGCCGGCGGGCGACACATAGTCCGAATCAGTGATATCGTCGTCGGTATACAACTGATCGTCAACTGTGGCCACGCGGAAGAACTTGTCCTCTTCGGGGGCCGCGTATGGCTTCTCATTAAAGTCAAACATCTGTCCCAACACAACGTTGAGGGCCGACGTGTCGTAGTGATGGCAACCGCTGTACCGATACAGGGGTTTCTTGTCGAAGCGGCAGCCGCTGGCCTGCGAGCCGATGGGCGACAGGCACTCGACAGTGAGGGCGCACTTAACCCACGGCAACATCAGTCTCTCGTGCACTCGTCGGGTGTTGTAGAGGACAATGTGCGCCGGTTTCACCATTCGGTGAAAGTAGTACTGATTTTGATGCGTCCGAAAGTAGTCAAACATTTTGGGATGAGTCAGACTAGAGGTCGGCTGCTCTATAGTCCACGACAGTAGACCCTCGCGACGCGCCCGAGCCGTCACATTGCGGGCTTTGGCCGCCGCTGTGGGCAACGCGTAGAGGTTAGGGTCGAGCCATACGGCGGCCCCCGTTTCGGACAACACTAACTGCAGAATTAGTGGCCGATAAGCGTGTAGTTTGAGGTCCGACACGTGCGCCGGGAATAAATCATAGTCAAAGCGCCTGATTTGGCACCAGTTGTTGTGTTGGCCGCCGATGTTTGGCGCAGTGGTGTCCACAACCGGCACATACGGTGACTGTTGTTTGCCATTGAGTTGCGTTCGCGGAGTTGTATCACTAGTTTTTGTGTGGTTTTGAGTCTGAGATTCATTACAAATACTACTTATCTGTGAATTAAATTGAGAACAAAATAATTGTTAATTAAATTAATGTAAAAAATATATAAAACAATCGATAATAATGTGCAGAATTGTTATAACGATAACAACTTCTAACGTAAACATTAACAGTATATTAACAGTCATTTGATATCTAATCAATAAATGTATTTCTCGTCTAAAATAACATCAGCTAATGATGTCTATAATTAACTATAATTAGTCACACGATATGTTCATTATTTATAACAAGTATTCAATGCCAATAAATAGGGAAAACTGACGACTCATTCAATTACAATGCAGAAAGTTTTGGTGAAAAACCCTTTAAAACTTGATTTTCATTACTTTAACAATAAATAAAACAATTAGATATCAAATGAATCTCTTAAACAATTTAGAAACTAAATTAACGAAAAAACACTTCATTATAATAAACCACTCAATAGTAACTCTCCAGTAATGCAAATATATGTAACTTAAAAATATGTCCAAATAAATAATCATACAATATTTGTATTATAGAGGGAGAATAATATTTACTTGGACATATTTTTAAGTTACATATATTTGCATTACTGGAGAGTAAACAATAAATACACACAAAAAAATAAACTAACAGTTAATTACAATCAAAATTAAACTACAAAAACAGTACATTATATACGGGAGATGAGCAATAATCTAATGGTAAAGCTTTGCATCGAGTGGTTCACTATAACGAGTCACATATAGTGTACAAAAAACAATAATCGGGTGATAAATACCGCTCGCAATTGGCGTCTATTAAGACCCAAATCATAGACAATGAGTGAATAGTTATAACGAGAAGCGGCCGAAAACTCTTGAAACGCGCGGACAAAACCATTGGCCACATCCGTGTGTTCGGGTCCCACACCCGTCACGAAGACGGGCCACACGCGCGACAACTGGTCATCGGTGGTCAGTACAGACGCCTCGTCGCTGCCATTCATCCAAAGACCCAAAACACGCAAATATTGTCCGCACTTTCGCTCACTCTCTTCGCTGTCGATATCGTCGGCCCGATTGGCGTCCCGGAAGTGACCGGGATTTACGTTATGGTAATTATGGTTATTATTAATGATGAATATATTGTTAATGGAGTGATGAATGGTGTGATCGGAGTGGCGGTCGTCGCCATCGCCGCCAATCACAACGCCCTTCAGATGAATGAGTTGTCTATTGATTGTGTCCAACGCGTGTGACTTGGGATCAGATATGAGTATACAGTAGAAGATTGTGGTCAAACAGATGCACACAATGAGCAGCAAGATCGATTTGAAGCGCATCATCAATGGTTAGATCCAATCGCATTCGCATCCAGGACAATTCATCAATTTGATCATGCTCATTATTATACATACTATCACTGGTTATAGTGAACACACAGTACACATACACATAGAGTACACTATCGGGGCTTTCAATAGTGAATTCACTTCATTGTAACAAATGGTTCACTAATTGAATGCATAATTAATAACAACAATAATAGTCTGAATTGAATTGATTTTTTGGTGTTTGTATTGAATGTGTATTTCATAACACTTTCCCAATAAATGCCGCAAACATTGGCTTTCAATGCGTTCACGCATTCAATGCCTACACCTGTGCCGACATCTGTTGTCCACTTTCTCCCATCACTTGTCATTCAATTATTATTAACCATTAAATCATACTTTGATTTACTAATTATTAAATACATTTATAAATTAACTAAGTAAATGATATTTAATTGATTATATATTAGCATAATGTTAAACAAATCCAAAGAGAATTGAATAATTAAAAATTTAATAAACGAATACTTTAGTAGTTTTAATTAGATATTGAATAAAAACTTTTGAATAAATAAAACATAAATTAAACTTTTGAGGCAATTATCGGGCGATGTCTTGATATTTGTGTTTCACTCAATTAATGCAATCAATTGAACACATGTTTGCTTTTCGGCCAAATCTACTGTAATTGACATCCAATAATGTTTTGGCCAACAATTCAAAGCGGTGTTAACTCGCGCTTACAATTCGCAGGTTTGCAACAACTCAATTGAATCAAGCTAATTGTTATGTTGGCACCACGTTTACCAATTAAATCAATTATTGTAATTCATTCATAACAATACATATATTTATTTAAACACGTTCATTAATTACAACACATATTTGAGCACTCAATTAAAAATACTCGAAACGAACTATTTTTATTCATAAACAAATTTATCATTGATTTGAAACCTAATTCTTCACGACTTGTATTCACTTGTATTTAATAAATGCAATGAAATGATGAAATTGAAGACATTATTGAAAATGTGCTCAAATAGCAGGGCTTTAATGCCAACAATTGCAGCAATTGGTGGCTATTCTTGGTATAGAAGACAGCATTTGTTGACTAATTATCATCAGATGAACAATAGATTCGCCGTAAGAATGGCTCAAATGAATGGCGACAAAGACATGGATGATATCGTCAACCAATGGATCAACAGTTTTGTTCTCGTATACCAACTCTACGGTAAAAAAGCAAACTTAAGCTCAATGGCTGAGGTCGGGTCCGGCTTTGCCATCACACCCGACGGTATCAACACATATGTAGTGACCAATTGTCACGTCACCGACGAATCGGACTTAATATACATGAAATCATTTGAAAGGGACGGCGCGGGCGATATCCGGGTGTCGGGTGCGGGACCTCTCAAACTGAACGGTCGGGTTGTGTACGCGGAACCCGAGTTGGACTTAACACTGATTGCCATTACCGGCGAGTTGTCTGTATCGTCAGCAGTGATGGCGAGATCAACGCCAGCGGGCGGTCGAGTGGTTGCGATCGGCAATCCATCGGGACTTGCATTTTGTGTTTGCGATGGTTTACTGCAAAGTGTGGACAAACCGGAGAGTACGGTATCGGTTGGCACTTACGAGTACTAT